ATCTTAGCTGTAGAGGGCAGTGTCACTGGCCCTCATATGTGGGATCCGAACCGGGGCCCTCTGGCATCCCAAGCCAGCTCTTAACCAATGCACCAGTTGGCCGGCTCTAAGTATTTTTTACTTTATGAAAGCAGAGCCATAATTAGCGTGCATACTTTTCTAGTGCTGTATTTTGAAGCATGCTAAGTTTTATGTTCCAACATAAGCCAGCTTATATAATTTTCTTGTGGTTCAGACTTATTTTAGAAAAACTGGAAAATACTTTAAAGGGAAAGGAAAAATTTACCATAATCACACTATCTGGGATAACTACTGTCATCTTTTTTTGTGAGTTTATTTGTGGTGACATGGTTGAGATAATACCATGAAGATAGTTCCGTATCCATTCTCTACTCGGTCATGATGAGAGCTTCCCCCCATGTCATTCAGAAGTCTCTGGAAGCTATAATTTTGATGATGGCCCATACAATGATCTCATTGTATGGACGTAGCAACATTTATGTACATCTTTTTTTGCTAGTTTGTGTTGTTTATACATAACTACAATAAAAACCTTGAACATACTTAGAAACCTATGGATCCAGAACTATCCCTTGCTTCCTTTGACAAGGTAAGGCTCTCTACTCCTTGGCTCCTGCTAGCAGAATGAGGCAGGGCGAAGTCCCTTCACATCTGTCACCTGGGAGCAGCCTCCTGGGCTGTGCTGTCGTCACCAGGCTGCACCTACCTCCCATGCTGCACCTGGCCCCCACGCTGATCCTCTGTTCTCTTCCCTTCAGGAACATTGTCCCTTGGCTTAAGAAGTATGGGACCAACCCCAGCAATGGCGAGGTAGGTGCTGTGCAGGAATTTAAATGATGTGGGTGAACGCTATCCTCTTACCTCTCCTTTGGTCAGTGGTTTTCATGTACACATGAGCATGGGAGAAGACCATTCATGGGGCACAGTGAGGGGACTGTCCTCCCCTCTCCACACCCATTCCTTTCCAGAAATGTCCCCTACGTGTGCACATGTGTGTGAAGGCGTACATCTTCTTCCCTTGGGCCACAGGTGTGATCACATGCATGCACCCCTCTGTAGCTTGCTTTCGCTCCCCACAGTGTGTGGGAGACCTGAGCTTGGCAGTGCAGAAAGCCCCACCTCCTTCTGTGGTGGCTGTGTGCGCCCTCTTGTGGGGGTACTGCAGGGGATTTGAAGTTACCTACTGTTGCCAACAGCTGTCGGGAGCACACTTGTGCATGCATGCTTCTCTAGGCATTCACCTGAGTGTTCTCTGGAGACTGCTGGGTCATGAGGCGGGTGCATTTTTGGTTTTGGTAGCTGGCAAATTTCCTTCTAGGTTACACCTGTTTCAACTCCTAACAGCAGTGTGTGAAAGAAAATGCCTGTTTCCCTATACCTTTGGCAACATTGGATAGCATCTGTTTCTTTGCGGTTTTTTTGCTGCTTGTGGGCAAAAAGGTTTTTTTAATTTGTATTTTTACTGTGAGCTAAGTTAGGCAGCTTATTATGTGTCATGCATACAGGCCCAATGTCGCAAGTTCTGTGCTGCTTAGGAAGAGATCCCCAGGGTCAAGTTCTAGCTTATTCTCCCTTTCTCCCCCGCTGTGCATGCCTTTACCATAAACCCACGGTGTGCCCACATCTTAATCATCCCCTGTGTTCTCTTGGTTCCCTTACTTCTCAGAGACCTCGCTCTTTCTCGCATGCTACAGCTTGGGCCCATTTCTTCATTTATTCAGTTGCCCTCATTCATTCAGCTGAGGCCTCCACACCCAGATGGCTTCTTTCTTCTGGCTGCCTAGACTTTGTTTTATTGTGAAGTTTCCTGTAGAAGAGGTGAATTTCAGAAACATTGAAAAACAGGGGATCCCATCGCAACCGCTCTGAGCTTTTGGGTGCATTTATTCCTGTTCCCCCGCTTTTTAGTATTTTATCTTTCTTAATAGTTATATGACAGAAGAATAAGGTACACACCACCCAGTTTTTTAGTTTCAGAAGTAATCAGCGCTTGCCATAAAACTCCTAACATCACAGAGTGTATAATAAACCTTCCCCTTGGCCACGGCCTCCAGCCTGGGTCTTGCCCCTGTGCACGGTGTCGGTTTGCTGGCTCAGAAGCAGGGGTTCTGTTGTGCAGCCCCCTTATTCAGATTAATTGCTGTGTCCTGGGGCCTCCAGGTCAGCAGCTGCACTTTCCCCTCTTGCCTATAGCTGTGAAGGCTTGGACGGTCAGAGACTGTTCCAGTTTGTCTGTGACACCCAGCCTCAGCAGTTCTTCACATCAGCCACTTACTCATTATTATTAACTATTAATTCTACTTCTTTTAGAAGCTGGATGGGCGGTCTCTGATCAAGCTTAACTTTGCAAAGAACAGTGAAGGTAAGGGATCTCTTTTACAGCAGACTCAAGGACTGGCCTGCAGAACCCAGCCGCTGCCTCTCACTAAGTTCTCTGCAGAACCAATCATTCCTTTCTGATCAGGCTGGACACTTGCTTTTAATTTCTCAAAGATGTAATATAATTTTTCCTTAAAGGTCCAGATAGTTTTTACAGGTGATGTTGGAGGGGAAAAAACCTTGGGTTTTGGGTATTTCTTCCCACAAAAGCAGTCGGACCGTGTGGGCCTTTGGTGGCCTTTGTGGGCGCAGGTGGGCCACGTGGCTCTGGTCTGCTTGTGGCTGGAGGTGGAAGCTGCCTAGGCTGAGGCCCAGGGTGGAAAGCCGGGCAGTGTGTGTGGGGTGTCTGACAGATCTGCTGGGTAGCTCTTGGGCTGGGCTTTTCTTTACCACCGATCGTAAAGCCCCAGCCCTGCCCTGGGGTCCTCCCGCTTTATATCCCTCTCATTGATAAAATGCCCTAGCTGAGGCAACCCCCATGGGCACTGACCTTGCTCTCGGTTCTTTGAGGGCTTGGCACGGTTCTCTCAGCTCGTACAGATGCCATGGTCAATGCTGATGTCCATGTTCACTGGGTGTGAGCTGAAGCACCTGTGACCAGGGCCCATCTGACACTTGTGTCTGACCCCAGAGTCTAGCCCACAGTAGATGCTGGTTCCCAGTGATGAGTGAGTGGGCCTCAGTGAAACAGAAGCACAGCGATTCAGGGACAGTCCCTGGGGGTCAGGGAGCTCCACCCTGGTGGCCTAGTGCTGGGGGCCTCCCTGCTCAGACATGAGCTGATTTGCGGAAGTCCACAGTGTGTCTCGTTCAGCAAATATTTACTGAGTAGCTGCCATGTGCAGAGAGCAGAACAGGCTAGATCTGTCCTGGAATGAAAGGAGCTTACATTACGGTGAGAGAGGAAACTGGAAAACGGATCACCATACTGTGTCAGATGCTGCTTCTGCCAGGGACAGAAGTAAAGCAGGGTGAGGAGAGAGGGTCATAGGAAGACTCACAGAGAGGGTTTGAGTAGAAATCTGACAGGAATGCTCTCGTAATTATTTTTATGTAGTTTTCAAATCAGGATTTTTAAAAGTCCACACAAATACATGTGGTTGATCTCTAAGTCTCTTCATCTGTAAGTGTCCCCTCCGCTCCTTTTTTTTTTTGGAGGTTTATTTTTGGGAATCCATTTAACAAGGCTCCGGGCGCCTATTGGGGCTTGGCAGGGCAGGGGCAGGGAGCAGGAGTTTGTTGCAATAACGCAGGTGACAGGGCAAGGGGTGTGGCAGGGTCTGAGGTGGAGGAAGAGGCCGGGGCATGGTCCGCAGTGACGGGCTGGGGGCTGGTGGAACAGACACCTGTGAGGGGGCCACGTGGAAGCTGGGTCTTGCAGGACGAGTAGGAGTTTCCCAGTGGTATTAGAAGAGGGGGCTTGAGCAGGNCCCAGAACATGAGAGCCCCACTAGAGTCTCTTGGGATGGGAGAGGGCAGTTCTCAGTAGAAAAATGTGGCTTGGTTGTGCCTGCTATGTGAAGTTTTGGGGAGCGAATTCCAGTCCTGCTTTGCCTAGGCCACCTCAAGGGACCACCTCCAGGGACCGCCTTTGGGTTTGAACATGATTACCTGTGTGTTACATGTCACAGCAGAGGGTGTGATGAGGACCAGGCTGCTGTTGTCCCAAAGCCCCCTCACCACCTTCTGGAACCCTTGCCTTGTACTTACTGGTTTGTGCTGGGAGCTTCTGAGGGGTCAGGGATGCGGGGGTCACCTCTGTGCTGGCACCCCCATCCCATGCTGTGCAGAAGAGCACCAGAATTGTTGAAGGAATGACTGAATGAGGGAGGGGCAAAGGGAGAAGCCACAGGAGCCATGTGGGAGTGACCTGGCCAGCCCACAGCATAACCGGGAATGACCATGTCTTTTCTCAGTCTCTCTCTGCAGCCCTTCACCTACCCGGTCTGCACCTCTGAAGGCGTCGTCTTCGACTTGCTGTGAGTTCTCCCTTGACTTTTGAGCTAACAAACGGGGTGAGATTGTTGACACCCACTCAGAAAGGGAATGTAGGGCGAGCTGGAGGGTTTGTGGTTCCAGGCATTGCCAAGCCAGGCCATGCTGAGGTCCCAGCAGCCTTGGGAGCCCTGGGTGGGCCTCTTGGGGACCCAGGAGGGGCTGCCAGGGCCTCAGAGATGAGGAGGCAGCAATGCTGCTGTGACCTTGGGCAGGCAGCTTTGCTGGCAGGCGCTACTGTCTCTTCCTAGAGTGGCATTCACCTCTTCACCATGTGGGCT